CCCCCCCCCCCCCCCCTGCCGCTGGCTTTTCACGCCCGTCCACCTCCGCCGCCGCTACCGCCGCCGCCGCTCGCCTGATCAAGGAGCGCCTTCCGGACCTCGGTGCGGAGCTGCACGTCCGCCAGGATTGCCCTCCGCACGTCGCCCCTGACGATCTCGTTTGACAAGTAAGCCCCCCTCTCGTGGCCGCACTTCCTGGGGCCGCTGGGCTCGGCCACGGCAGTGACCTTTTCCCCTACCGCCCCCATCGCATGACCGCCGCGGCCGACGTCCCCGACAGGCTTGGAGAGGTGGGAGCAACGGGTGGGCGACAATACGGTCTGAGTCTTCTGCTGCAGCTGCTGCTGTTCCTGAAGCTGAGGCCGGCTCTTGTCCGCCGCGGAAGAGGTACAAGGCTTCGACTTGGAGGAGGAGGACGACGACTTCTCTCCTCCTCGCCTCTGGATCTGCGGCAGTTCGGCGCTTTCGAGGGCGGCAAGCAGGCGCTCCTGCAGGGAGACCCGCGGTATCTGGGACTTGGAGCGCGGGGTGGCGGGCACGATGTCGCCCTACAGCACAATGGTCGAGACAGGGGGAGTGGGGGGGGGCAGATGAGAGGTTAGAGACAACCAGCATTGGAGAGGGAGAGCGTGGGGGAGGGGAGAAAAGAGCGGGACAGCGAGCGAGAGAGAGAGAGAGGGAGGGAGAGAGAGAGAAGTATAAAGGGTAACTAGCCAGGCGTGTTGAAACCAAGTAAGGGTTGGAAGAAATATCAAAGGACTACGGCTATTCCCATCCATTGATAAACTCCCCATACCCTGCGCTCCCCCCACCCCCCTCTCCAAGAACGTCGTCCTTTGGCAAACCCGCAAGTCTTGTTCATGGATCGAATTGAGTGCTACATTAAATTGGATCCAGTTGCGGTATCCAAGCCGCAACGTGCATCGCAGCAGGGCCGTCAGTGGCACGTCTTGCAGCACCTCCACGCGGACAAAGTATAATGAGAAAAGAGACTGCTGTGGAAATACAACGGTAAAATCATCCGAATCTGGATTATGACTGACCATCGTTGGGGCATGCTGTAGTCGTTCCACCCCAGGTCGCGAACATAAAAAACAAGAGCCAGCCCAGCCCAGCACGATTAACACACGCACCGATACATGCACGTGGTGTTCTTTGTCAAGATGCATGCAAGTGGCGTTCTTCCAGACGGCCGAACGCGGAGATCAACCACGCTCACGCCCCGGCGCCAACACCTACCAGAAACAACCACCGCCCACGATCGCACACACAGAGAAAAAACAAGCAAACACAGCGGGAAACAGACAACACAAACGCAGTGAGCAAAAACAAGCAAAAAAACGCACCCCGACGGTAGCCTTCCTTCCGCGATCAGTAGTAGCAGCGGCGGTGGTGGCCACCCTGCTCCTTCCCCTCTGCGTACCCCCCTCGCCTCCGCCGCCGCCGCCGCCGCCGCCACCGTGAGCTTCAAGCCTTTTTAACCTCGCGGGGCTCAGAGAGTTAGCACCCGAAGATCTGCGCGAGTGGAGACCCCTGCCCCTCGCCTTGACAGCCACCGCATTGGAGGTCGTGTCGGCCTGAGCGAGGTACAGTAGTAGGTTCGACGGTGTAGTATTGTGTAACAAAATCCAGACATGTCATCACCTACATAGTATTTAGTGTAAGAGAGTGATCTCACACATGTTGGGTGAGATCACTACAGTAGTGTTTCGGATGGGGTGATATGCCCTACGTTGTGTGACGCAACGACAGAGTGTCATACTAATGACGCAGGAAAACACCCTCCTTTGGGCAGTATATATAGCCTTCCCGAGGGTATTAATCTTGGTTTTAGTAGGGGGTACGGGTTGGGGAATAGGGATGGATGGGGATAGGGATAGGGATACGAAATTTCCCCTAGACTATATTTCAAAGATTTACAAAAAAATCCTTGCGAAGGCGGTCCCCCCGTCGGGTCGAGTTATTTCCCCCCCCCCGCCACCAACGCCGAGAAAAATGAATAAATCAGGGCAGGCCGCCCGGGGCCAAGAAAGAACAAGAAAAGCGGCATGTTTTCTATTGCACAACACCATGTATCTGGGATTGGTGTTCGCTCTCCTTGTCTACGTTTCAAATACCTTTTCTCGAGGCAGTGGCGCGCGAGCGCCCGTGCGTGTGTGATTCTTTCATTAGCATCGATTGCGCTGACTGGCGGACTGACCAATGGAAAACACGTCAATGTG